CTGTCAGTCTGTCAGTCTGTCAGTCTGTCAGTCTGTCAGTCTGTCAGTCTGTCAGTCTGTCAGTCTGTCAGTCTGTCAGTCTGTCAGTCTGTCAGTCTGTCAGTCTGTCAGTCTGTCAGTCTGTCAGTCTGTGAGTCTGTCAGTCTGTCAGTCTGTCAGTCTGTCAGTCTGTCAGTCTGTCAGTCTGTCAGTCTGTCAGTCTGTCAGTCTGTCAGTCTGTCAGTCTGTCAGTCTGTCAGTCTGTCAGTCTGTCAGTGTGTCAGTCTGTCAGTCTGTCAGTCTGTCAGTCTGTCAGTCTGTCAGTCTGTCAGTCTGTCAGTCTGTCAGTCTTTCAGTCTGTCAGTCTGTCAGTCTGTCAGTCTGTCAGTCTGTCAGTCTGTCAGTCTGTCAGTCTGTCAGTCTGTCAGTCTGTCAGTCTGTCAGTCTTTCAGTCTTTCAGTCTGTCAGTCTGTCAGTCTGTCAGTCTGTCAGTCTGTCAGTCTGTCAGTCTGTCAGTCTGTCAGTCTGTCAGTCTGTCAGTCTGTCAGTCTGTCAGTCTGTCAGTCTGTCAGTCTGTCAGTCTGTCAGTCTTTCAGTCTGTCAGTCTTTCAGTCTTTCAGTCTTTCAGTCTGTCAGTCTGTCAGTCTGTCAGTCTGTCAGTCTGTCAGTCTGTCAGTCTGTCAGTCTGTCAGTCTGTCAGTCTGTCAGTCTGTCAGTCTGTCAGTCTGTCAGTCTGTCAGTCCGTCAGTCTCTGCCGGTCGTCCGTCCGTCCGTCTGTCGCCCGTCAGTCTGTCGCGTCTGTCAGTCTGTCAGTCTGTCAGTCTGTCAGTCTGTCGTTCGTCAGCCCTGTCAGTCTGTCAGTGTCGTCTGTCAGTCTGTCAGCTCGTCAGTCTGTCAGCGCCTGTTCGTCGTCAGTCTGTCGTTCGTCAGTTCGTCAGTCTGCCGCCCGTCAGTCTGCGTCCGTCAGTCTGTCAGTCTTAGTCTGTCGTCTGTCAGTCTGTCAGCCTGTCAGTCTGTCGTCTGTCGTCGTCTGTCAGCCTGTCGTCTGTCAGTCTGTCAGTCTGTCAGTCTGTTAGTCTGTCTGTCAGTCTGTCAGTCTTCCGTCTTAGTCGTCAGTCTGTCAGTCTGTCAGCCTGTCGTCTGTCAGTCTGTCAGTCTGTCGTCGGTCTGTCAGTCTGTCGGTCTGTCAGTCTGTCTGTCTCCGTCAGTCTGTCGCCTGTCAGTCTGTCAGTCCGTCAGTCTGTCAGTCTGTCGTCTGTCAGTCTTGTCGTCCGTCGGTCTGTCGGCCTGTCGTCTGTCAGTCTGTCAGTCTGTCAGTCTGTCAGTCTGTCAGTCATCAGTCTGTCAGTCTGTCAGTCTGTCAGTCTGTCAGTCTGTCAGTCTGTCAGTCTGTCAGTCTGTCAGTCTGTCAGTCTGTCAGTCTGTCAGTCTGTCAGTCCATCAGTCTGTCAGTCTGTCAGTCTGTCAGTCTGTCAGTCTGTCAGTCTGTCAGTCTGTCAGTCTGTCAGTCTGTCAGTCTGTCAGTCTGTCAGTCTGTCAGTCTGTCAGTCTGTCAGTCTGTCAGTCTGTCAGTGCCTGTCAGTCTGTCGTCTGTCAGCCTGTCAGTCCGTCAGTCTGTCAGCCCGTCAGTCGTCAGCCTGTCGGTCTGTCAGTCTATCAGTCTGTCAGTCCGCCATCTTGTCAGTCTGTCAGTCTGTCAGTCTGTCAGTCTGTCAGTCTGTCAGTCTGTCAGTCTGTCAGTCTGTCAGTCTGTCAGTCTGTCAGTCTGTCGGCCTGTCAGTTCTGTCAGCCTGTCAGTCTGTCAGTCTGTCAGTCTGTCAGTCTGTCAGTCTGTCAGTCTGTCAGTCTGTCAGTCTGTCAGTCTGTCAGTCTGTCAGTCTGTCAGTCTGTCAAGTCTGTCAGTCTGTCAGTCTGTCGGTCTGTCAGTCTGTCAGTCTGTCAGTCTGTCAGTCTGTCAGTCTGTCAGTCTGTCAGTCTGTCAGTCTGTCAGTCTGTCAGTCTGTCAGTCTGTCAGTCTGTCAGTCTGTCAGTCTGTCAGTCTGTCAGTCTGTCAGTCTGTCAGTCTGTCAGTCTGTCAGTCTGTCAGTCTGTCAGTCTGTCAGTCTGTCAGTCTGTCAGTCTGTCAGTCTGTCAGTCTGTCAGTCTGTCAGTCTGTCAGTCTGTCAGTCTGTCAGTCTGTCAGTCTGTCAGTCTGTCAGTCTGTCAGTCTGTCAGTCTGTCAGTCTGTGAGTCTGTCAGTCTGTCAGTCTATTAGTCTGTCAGTCTGTCAGTCTTTCAGTCTGTCAGTCTGTCAGTCTGTCAGTCTGTCAGTCTGTCAGTCTGTCAGTCTGTTCTGTCAGTCTGTCAGTCTGTCAGTCTGTCAGTCTGTCAGTCTGTCAGTCTGTCAGTCTGTAAGTCTGTCAGTTCTGTCAGTCTGTCAGTCTGTCAGTCTGTCAGTCTGTCAGTCTGTCAGTCTGTCAGTCTGTCAGTCTGTCAGTCTGTCAGTCTGTCAGTCTGTCAGTCTGTCAGTCTGTCAGTCTGTCAGTCTGTCAGTCTGTCAGTCTGTCAGTCTGTCAGTCTGTCAGTCTGTAAGTCTGTAAGTCTGTCAGTCTGTCAGTCTGTCAGTCTGTCAGTCTGTCAGTCTGTCAGTCTGTCAGTCTGTCAGTCTGTCAGTCTGTATGTCAGTCTGTCAGTCTGTCAGTCTGTCAGTCTGTCAGTCTGTCAGTCTGTCAGTCTGTCAGTCTGTCAGTCTGTCAGACTGTCAGTCTGTCAGTCTGTCAGTCTGTCAGTCTGTCAGTCTGTCAGTCTGTCAGTCTGTCAGTCTGTCAGTCTGTAAGTCTGTCAGTCTGTCAGTCTGTAAGTCTGTCAGTCTGTCAGTCTGTCAGTCTGTCAGTCTGTCAGTCTGTCAGTCTCTCAGTCTGTCAGTCTCTCTCAGTCTTTCAGTCTGTCAGTCTCTAAGTCTGTCAGTCTGTCAGTCTGTCAGTCTGTCAGTCTGTCAGTCTGTCAGTCTGTCAGTCTGTCAGTCTGTCAGTCTGTCAGTCTGTCAGTCTGTCAGTCTGTCAGTCTCTCAGTCTGTCAGCCTGTCCATCTGTCAGTCTGTGAGTCTGTGAGTTTGTCAGTCTGTTGGTCTGTCTCTCAATCAGTCTGTCAGTTTATTAGTCTGTCCATCTAACTGTCCTTCAGTCTGTCTGACAGACTGTAAGTCTGGACTGACAGACTAATAGGGTGACAGACTGATAAGACTGACAGATAGACATACTGTCAAACTAATAGAGTGACAGACTGACAGCATTTTTAATTTCCCAATAAAAAAACAGTGAAAGGCCAGCCCCAAATATAGGAATATATATTATATATATCGTTCTCTTCTAGTTTTAATTTAAAACCACACATGTATAAATTAAGCCCAGTACTAATTTTAAACTTTTTTAATAAATGTTTATCTGTGAATCGTCAATATAAATTTTTACATTATGAACTGGTATGTGTTCTCTTATAATTGGGTCCCTTATTATAGAAACTGAAAATTTCCTTACAAGGCAACAATTTGAGAGACATAAATTTAATGCAAATTCTATAGTTAATATATCACTACTTTCACAGCAGATCTCATGCTGAGTAGCCTGCACTTGCAATTTACACACTCCATTAAGTATAGTTCCGCTTGAAGGACTTACTTTCACTGATTGACATACAGTTTTTAGTATCCACTTCTGAGGAGCTTCTTTTGTAAAGTTAAGTTTAGGCGAAAGTTGAAGATTAAAATATATCGTACTTGATTGAATAACACTTAGAGGTAAGTTTTTTATAGCGTGAGTTTCAATTTGCTTTAATGTACATTTTTGCATATTAGTTTCAATTGACGACGAAATTTGGGTAAAATCTAAGATAAACGGTTTTGCTATCATAGTCACTAGATCTATTTTATGTATTAAATGGTTATTGGTATCAGCTACCAAAATATTTTGTTCGTTAGCGTCCAAGCACAAACCAGAGGGCTCATTGAAAATAATATCAGTACCGTCTTCTGGGCCCTTGATTTTTAAGGAGAAAATAATATTTAAATCAGTGTCAATAACTTTGATTTTATGATTGTAAGTATCAGCCACGTATAGCTTTTTATGTGTATTATTGTAAGCCAGTCCGAGCGGATGTTGAAGTTTCGCATTAAATAATTTACCGTCAATGTCACCGTAGGCAAATAAGTTCTGCAAATACATTTTAAAAATGTGAATTATATGTGTTAGGCTTATAAGCCAAATATATATCTTACAAGTGGGTTACGATCACCTCCAACGACAGGCATAACCTTTCCGTCGATCATGGAAGCTTTCCGTATACTTGAGCTTTCGCTGTCTGCTATGTACAAAATGTCGTTTGCCATAGCCAAGCCAGAGGGCTGTGCGAATGCTGCGTTCTGTGGGTAAGAATTATTTCTATTCTCTTCCATACCGTTTCCAATTAATGAGACACAACAAAGAGGTTCAAATTTGCGGAACTTCCACCAAATTATACCTTCTGGGAAATATCCCCAAATTTGGTGTGTGCCGGCCATAGCTATAAGCACAATAGTTTTTTCAGGCACGTTATGTTCATCAAGATGAAAAGACATATCCATGTCTCTTGCTCGAAAAATAGCAACATCCCAAGGTGACGATAAAGGTTGCAAAGGTCCTACGCGACCACCAATACGGTCGTTGCCCTGAAGGCCTGTTCCAGCGAGAGTTTCAACCTTACCACTTGTAAGCGAGATCTTACGAAGGGCATGGTTTTTAGTGTCAGCGACAATCAAATCATGTTCATTTATAAATGCTAGGCCTTGTGGATTATTAAATCGTGCTACTGTTAAAGCACCATCAACAAATCCAGGCTGATTTCCACCAATTTTGTGTTGTACTAATCCGGTGTTAGCAACAATAAGCACCCGGTTATTTCCAGTATCAGCAATAGCATACTTGCCCAGAGGGCTTCGAGCTATCTTTGAAGGGAATCGCAAGTTAGAAGCAGGTTTTAAGTTACTGGATAGTTGAATAGATGGTAACCTACAAAAGTCAATTTTTTCGTGATGAGTGAAAAATGATAAAGCAGCACCAACAAAATCATGAAGGAACTTTCCGTGCCCTTCGCCCATCAGTAACAACATGGGTATACCAGTGGGGCTGATAACTAATAGGGACGGCCAGCAGCGTATGCCAACCGTACGCCACATAGTAGATTGCCAGTCGTTTACAATGGGATGAGTGATTCCATATCGTTGCACGGCAGACAAAATGTTTGTCGTAACTCTTTCATTTTCAAACTTTGGACTGTGAACTCCGATTACTAAAAAACCGCTTTCAACGGGAAACCGTTCTTCCAGACGAAGAAGCTCTGGGATTACATGCATACAATTAATACAACAGTAGGTGAAAAAATCTAAAAGGATAACTTTTCCTTGCAGTCCTTTTAAGGATAAAGAACCACTTACATTAAACCAATCCAAATCTAAAGATAGAAAATTTATTTCAGGTATAGCAAGTATTTAATAAATATACTCATACCGGAATCAAATTCAATATGTATAGTCTTCAGTTTTGCAATGGAGAAATCTTTATTCCATCGCTGTAGGAACTCGGTAATGGCTCTAACCCTATCGTCCTCACCACTTCTGCTTCTATAGGTTTGCAGCAATTCTTCAGTTATAAATGTTAAAATGTCGATAGCTGGTAAATCATCCATCTTAACAAATTTTAATTTTTTCTTAAGATTTCTAGCATTCCAAACTTAAGTTTGAAGGAATGTCCCACATCTCATGATATGCAAATTAACAATGATTTCGGAACGGTGGAATATGAAAATCGAGAAAAAATTTGTCCCTCTCAATTAACAAAACTAAATTAAGCACACGATAGGTTTAATTGCGAAAAATATGTTGTTTATTATTAGATGACCAGAGCTGCACAGACCATAAATAGGGCACGCAAAAGCTGTCGGCATTTCGATCGTTCTGCTTACAAACCTAGTAGAATGTATGAGATAAGTAAGCAAGAGCGGATCGAAAGCTCGGCAGGCAAAACGTTAAGTCTTTGTAGTCAACTTTTTGACTATCTTTTGCTTACAAAAATTAATCAAAGCAAACAAAAGCCGATGGCATTTACAATTCAACAATTTCGTTATTGCTGCTCCGAACATCCTCCCTCTGTTGGAAGGGATCCGCTTAAGCCCAGCTTCGATTCAATAGGGGAGCAGATAGTTTGGCAACGGCCCTCTTGGCCAGGCCTGCAGAAAATTTGCTGCATCTGGACAAATCGTTGTCATCGTTTTAGCCGAGATGCTTTATGATGGGCAACGTCCAGCTCTGAAAACGAGTTGAATCTTGAGTCTTCTGAAATTGGACAAACAGGAGAATTAAAAATTGCTGATATTTCGTATACGAGATCTCGGAGCTCATCAAATCTTAAATGAAATAATGAAATTTGATTGCCCTTGACAGTCACTTCCCGGAATCCGCCAAAGTGTGTTGAATGGGGAGGTATGAATTTCCACTCGATTTCTTCCGTGAGCCAGGTTGATTCTATGTCCGATAAATTGGGATCTCACCTTAGCGATGCGGTTGTTGAGGATATTGACAATTCTTGAAAGATTTCTATATATGTGGCCTTGGTCGCGAAGCAGACAAAAATCGATATTCAGCATTTGTAAGCTGTTCAAAGTCAACGGCAAAACCTTTGTCGTCCATCGATTCCAATCCTGTAATTCAAAGACAGCTCTTGGCTCACTTTTGATAGAGGCCTGCTAGCGTTTAGTGCGCCGATCTCGAAAAACGACAAAGCTGAATTCCTTTTACTGACGTACGAGAACCATCAGATAGGTTCTGTAAGGTGACAAGACCAACTGGTCGAGAACAATCTGTTAAGTTTACTGCTTGTCCCAGTGTGCTGGAAGCTGAAAGATGGGAGCAATCAGCTGATCGCTCTCGCATTTTGGGACGATGCGTGGGATCACGTGAGCGAGAGCTGAGAAGAGGACAGATGCCGTCGGCTTCGGTAAATTTAACAGAAAGCACGTCGAGATTCTAGCGCTGGACGCTATTTACCCATTGTACATATTAAACCGATCTAGTAATTAAACTATTTGTGAATTTATCTGTTGGTGTTTGCATTGCTTGTAAACGCCTCCTACAATGACCCTACGTTAGACTGAATACAAGAGGACACAACTATACATGGTGGCCCATGAGGGGAACTCGCAATTGCAAACATTATTAAAAATTCTTAATTACTCCGGAGACAGGATCTTTCTTCGCTTCTTTTTGGGGTGGATTCTGGTACACATAACTGAGTAAGTAGACAAGTTGCGTGCGAGACAAGAATTAACTAAGTTTTTTAATTGCATTATTATTATGGGGTGGTGAGTTGCGCGCCAAGTTCGAATTTTACACTTGCCAACATTAAGCGTGAATCAAATGCTTAGACTTTGGAGCAGTTGGTCAATTTGCAGGCATCTGCAATCGTTCCCTAGGAAAGATTCGCAATCCAAGAAAACAGACTACTATGATGCCTTCACGAGCCTCATTCACAACAACAGCAATTTGAGTAGTGTTAAGAAGTGTCACTTACTCAAAGAATCGTTGCCAGCAAATCGCGATAACGACACCCGTCAAATGCAGCTCACGGAAGGAAACTATTCAGTGGCCTGGGGAATAATGATCAAGAGGTACAACAATCCTTTTCGCTCACCACATGAATGCCATCTACGCGTTGCCCAGGCTGCAAAAGGACAAACGGATCTAATACGCTCGATGCTAAGCACAGTCAATGTTTGCCTGGCTGCATTCCGCCGCGTCCAAGCCTTGCATGGGAAATCGCAGTAGCAACAAGGTTACCAAAGGAGACCCACAACGCTTGGGAGCACCATCACGGCGGTGCCACCATTTCCATCCTGCAGGGAGTTGGAATCCTTTTTGAATAATCGGCTGGTCATAATGGATGTGATTGAGAACCGCAGCTCATCGTACGACTCCAGTGCTGGCCCAAGATGAACGGACCTGAGCAAACAAGTGCGATTGCACAGTGCACGATAGCACTATGAGCGCGCTGTTGACTGTTACCACTGTGGCGATGATCATATTTTGCGTCATTGCACAACCTTCTTGGCCCTAGACTGCTACCAGAGAAAGGATATAGTAAGCAGGGCTAAACTATGTATCAATTGTTTAAGTAAGTCGCATACTCTTTCGCGCTGCACTAGTTATAACGCCTGTGAAGTTTGTAAACAGCTCCAACACACATTGTTGCATTTCCCAGTTCTGGCTCCATAATCAATCGTCGAGCCACGTACTGCCGCATCCAGTCCGATCTGTGGCGCTGGATCTTATTGCACTTGCAGCCATGGAGAACGTATCTCAACAGCGCATGCAGCCAACGTCTGTCAGATGCTACGACAAATTTTTCTTCGAAAAATGTTCTTCTTCCATCTGATCGTATCAACGTGCAAAAGCCATACAACGGTCTGCACACAGTCATAACCGCCCTGGTCGACCAAGGAGCTGAGACAACCCAGTCCCTGCATCTGAAACGAACTAGCACCCGAGAATCTATTTTTGGAATGGGTCTTAGGGGCGGTCGTCGGTGTAAGTATACTCGAAATAAGTAATATTTTTAACCCTGATTTTTCAATAGAAGTCGAGTCGGCAGCTCACGGAAGGATACTATTCAGTGGCCTAGGGAATAATGATCAAGAGGTACAACAATCCTTTTCGCTCACCACATGAATGCCATCTACGCGTTGCCCAGGCTGCAAAAGGACAAACGGATCTAATACGCTCGATGCTAAGCACAGTCAATGTTTGCCTGGCTGCATTCCGCCGCGTCCAAGCCTTGCATGGGGAATCGCAGTAGCAACAAGGTTACCAAAGGAGACCCACAACGCTTGGGAGCACCATCACGGCGGTGCCACCATTTCCATCCTACAGGGAGTTGGAATCCTTTTTGAATGATCGGCTGGTCATAATGGATGTGATAGAGAACCGCAGCTCATCGTACGACTCCAGTGCTGGCCCAAGATCAACGGACCTGAGCAAACATGTGCGATTGCACAGTGCACGATAGCACTATGAGCGCCCTGTTGACTGTTACCACAGTGGCGATGATCATATTTTGCATCATTGCACAACCTTCTTGGCCCTAGACTGCTACCAAAGAAAGTTATAACGCCTGTCAAGTTTGTGGACAGCTCCAACACACATTGTTGCATTTCCTAGTTCTGGCTCCATAATCAATCGTTGAGCCACGTACTGTCGCATCCAGTCCGATCTGTGGCGCCGGATCTTATTGCACTTGCAGCCATGGAGAACGTATCTCAACAGCGCATGCAGCCAACGTCTGTCAGATGCTACGACAAATTTTTCTTCGAAAAATGTTCTTCTTCCATCTGCTCGTATCAACGTGCAAAACCCATACAACGGTCTGCACACAGTCATAACCGCCCTGGTCGACCAAGGAGCTGAGACAACCCAGTCCCTGGATCTGAAACGATCTAGCACCCGAGAATCTATTTTTGGAATGGGTCTTAGGGGCGGTTGTCGGTGTAAGTATACTGACTGACTCGAAATCAGTAATACTTATAACCCTGATTTTTCAATAGAAGTCGAGTCGGCATATGTTATCAACTCGGTTACTTCCTGTCTTCCGAGCCTCAGCTTCATGCTACATGTTTGGAATTATGAACGAGGTTTCCCACCGGCGGATCCAAACTTCACCCGATCGAAGGGAGTCGATCTCATCTTGGGAGTGGACATTTTAGTGCAAATTATGTTGCCAGCCCGGCGAGCCCATAGCTCAGAACACACGCTTTGGCAGGATCCTTTCAGGAGGGGCGGAAGGAGTGAGGGAAACCACCCAGCTACGCTGTCGAGGTATTGCGCTAGCGTTTCTGAGAGGTCATGCAGGTCATGAATTCGATGCAACTTCTAATGAGTGGGTGTACACAGTAGTGGGAGGTCCGAAGGTTTCCGCCTTGCTGCTCAGCAGTCTGGAAGGAACAGCTAAAGCTCCTTAGGTAGGCAGTACGAACCAGGCAATTGTACAATGGATCGACTTCTCCAGCGATGTTTTGCTGATCAGAAACAAGAAGATAGATATTGCACATATTGCACCAAGCGGTAAACTTTCTGAAGGCTCAGAGGAATCCCATGAGCAAGCAAGGACCATCATAGAAGAAACCTCCACCAATAAGAATGTCAAAACTGAAGCCAATACACAATTGCCCAGTGTGACTGATTGCTGGGAGAACGATTTGAACCAGTCAAAGGAAACTCAACAAAACGTAGCCAAGGAAAAACGTCCGCAGCCCATGTTCTTTACAGGGCACTTTCTTATAAAGCAATCAAGGGTAAGCCATTTCTGGAAGGCTTGGAGTCGGGACGGCCACATTTACCACAGAGGCCCAAGGGGTTCCGACTTCGTGATAATCAAGGACGACCGATTCCCGCCGTCACAATGGCTACTGGGTCGCGTCGTCAGGTTACACCCAAGGACGGATGCGTTGCTGTAACACTTAAAAATAAGCAAGGCCAGATGAAACGTTCAGTGTCGGAACATTGTCCACTGTCTATCCGTTCTGAGGCGCCGTCACTTACCACATCTTTAAATATTAACTCGTTTTTTGCGCACACTTCTTATTTACTTTCCCTTACTAAATATTCTGCATTCCATAAAAGTTTTGATACTTGCTGTTGCTGGAGAGATCCACCGCAGCACTCCAAAAGATCGTGAAG